TTTTTTCCTGTGAACCCTCCCTGCAACCTTATGAGATCACTAGCATGCCCAACCCACAGTGTGGAAAATAAAGGCTCAGAGAGACTCTACACACAGCACTGTTCCAAGTACTGCACAGTTCTTAACTTTAGGTCTTTCTTGTACTGCACTGTCCCTGCCTGTGTCTTGGGGAACCAAGGTGACACAGAGGAGTTGAATAACTTCCCCACTGTTCTGGAAATATGTGTTCTTGCCAGGTATGGTGGTGCGTTCCTTTAATCCCAACACTTGGGAGGCAGAAGCAAGATCTATGTGAGTTTGAAGCCAGCCTGGTCTACAGAGCTAATTCCAGTACAACCGGGGCTAAACAGAAAAACCCAATCTCAAAAAATAAACAAAAAAGCCAGGCAATGGTGGTGCATGCCTTTAGTCCCAGCACTCGGAAGGCAGAGGCAGGTGGATCTCAGTGAGTTCAAGGCCAGCTTGATCTACAAAGGGAGTTCCAGGACAGCCAGGGCTATGCAGATAAACCTTGTCTCAAAAAGAAAAAAAAAAAAAAAAGTAGTCTTCTGACCCCCAAGGAAATAATATGGTTCCAGCAACCAGCAATCAGTTATTTTAGGGGCTAGGGGATCATACACCCCAGAGGCATCTTACCTTACCCCCCCCACTCTGGCTTTGGTGGGGGGGGGCAGCAAGGGAAAGCCTAAGCTGAAACCTAGAAGTCCTTTTCTGTCAGGATCAAAGCTCTCTGAACAGCTCATCTAGAAAGATGTGGGGAGAGCTTCAAAAGATGAAGGAGCATTCGACTTCCCCAGAAATCTAAAACCTACATATTTACCTCTTGAGTAGAAGCTACCCTAGCTGTCTCCAGGAACCAACAGGTCTTGTCTCTGCTCCCTGGGGGACAACGGCCAACACACTGCCTTTCTCAGAGCACTGATTGACAGGCTCCAGACCAAGAGGGGATGTGACCTGCTTGATTCTGAGAGACAGAAGGTCTGGGAGTTAAAGCAGTCTGGGACTAACACCCCTCTGATCCTGCCTTCTGCTGTTCCGTATCTTCTGAGTCTGTTTTGTAAGTTGTAGAGCATTGAGACCACTCTGAAAACGTGGGGAGGTTATTTTCACCATTTAGTTTATTTCACTGCAGCATTCAACTTCCGTGGCATTTCCGGGGGAGCTTTGGAAGTATTTTCTTCCTTTATCACATAATCACTCCAAGAAATAGGCCAAGCTTTAGGGCAGACAAGTGGCACCTGGGGATGTTGAGTGGCCTCTAGGAAGCCATAGGAGACACAGATAGGGTTCTCATCTGTGTTTCAACATTTACTAGTAGTGTTGCTCCCAGCATGACTTCTGAAACTATGTTTACCACTGTAAGCTGGGGAAAATTACGTAATGCCTTTTGAGGTTACCAGGGAAATTAAGTGAGACTATGTGTGCTAAATGCTTACCAAAATGCTTAGAAAAAAGCACTCGGGAGGCAGAGGCGGGTGAATCTCTGGAGTTCGAGGCCAGCCTGGTCTACAGAGCGAGTGCCAGGGTAGGCTCCAAAATTATACAGAGAAACCCTGCTCAAAAAAAACCAAAAAAGAAAAGAATAGTGAGATTCGAAAATGGAAGCTAATAATAAAACTAATCCAAAGAGACTGCAACTACAGTAGAACCTTAATGCATCTTTTTCAAATAAAATAGGCTCCCCGAAAATTGTTCTGAAGTTACGAATATGCAGAGAGCTAATAGAGCCCATCCACTAAAGCATCACTTATGCCTTTTAGGGCTCCACTTAAAACTGCCATCAGGGTGATACTTCCAGTTCTGTGACAGCAAGAATGACATTTCTCCAGTCCGTGTCTCTTGCCTCACTATGGCATCGTATCAAAGGGCTAACACTTCCTGAGACCTGTATCAGGTGAACATCCCAGTCAGGCATCTCTATGTCTGAGCTCCCCTTTCACCACCAGGAAAGTGAGTGTGAGGGTCCCATTGTTCCTCAGAGGCATCATACACACACAATTACTCCCTCAGGCATTTTCTGCAGCCCCCAAGTTTCAGTTAAAAGCAAAGACCACCCTATCCAACAAAGGCTTAATATATGTAGCCAGAAGACATACAGCAAAGTGTGATGGTACACAGCTGGAATCCCAGCACTTGAGGTCAGGGCAGAAGGATCAGGAGTTCAAGGTCATCTTCAACTACAAAGCAAATTTGAGACCCTATCTTACAAAACCTAATTAATTAAATAAATAAATAATGTGTTTTACTACTACACAAGCCTGAAACTTGAGTTCAATCTCTGGAATCCATGGTGGCAGAAGAGCATCAACTCCCAAATGCTATCCAGTGGCCTCTATACACACAAAATCACAAGCACAAACACACACATCCATGCACAATAATAAATAAAATTTCATCCAGGTGTTGGTGGCTCACGCCTTTAATCCCGGCACTCCAGTGGCAGAGGCAGGTGAATCTCTGTGAGTATAAGGCCAGCCTGGTCTACAGAGAGAGTTCCAGAACAGCCAGGGCTACACAGAGAAACCCTGTCTTGAAAAACCAAATTAAAAAAATGAACAAAATCAAATATACATATGTATACTTCTATAATTCTGGGACAAGTACTCTTTGTCATTTTCTATAAAGGCTTCTCAAGGCTATGTCTGTGTCAAGCCCTATGCTTTGTATTGACCAGAGAAGGTCTAGATCTGGTTTCTGCTCTCAAGAAGTTCTCAGACTTTAGAAAAAGTAAACAGAAGCCAGGCAGTTGTGGCACACACCTTTAATCCCAGCACTTAGAAGACAAAGGCAGGTGGATCTCTGTGAGTTCCAGGCCAGCCTGGTCTACAGAGCGAGTACCAGGAGAGGCTCCAAAACCACACAGAGAAACCCTGTCTCGGGGAAAAGAAAAAAAAACATAAAAAGAAAAAGTAAACAGACACATCACATTATAAGAAACCATGGTAGCTACATGGAGGGACATCTTGGGGGGAAACTAAGGAAAATCCACTTTGCCCAGAAAAGAAAAGCAGCAGGGAAGGGCAGGATGAGAACAGAAATCAAACAAACAAATGCATGATGCCCTAGGTTCAACCATGGCTTTAAAAGAAGACAGGAGCTGGACTGGTGAGCTATTGACCCTAAACCAAGTGCTCTTGACTGTCCCACCTCTGAACACATCTTCCCTTGTGTAAGTGGGGCTACTCTCCCCTCAAGGAAACTGTTGAAAAGCATAGAAGTGACACTTATAGAGGACCACAGCCCAAGAAAGCTGAAATTACTTAGAAAAGGTGACTTTCTGAAATGATTTATTTATCCATGTGCATTGGTATGTTGCCTGCATGGATGTCTGTGTGAGGGTGTCAGATCCCCTGGAACAGGAGTTATAGGTAGTTTTGAACTGCCATGTGGGTGCTGGGAACTGAACCTGGGTCCTCTGGAAGAGCTGCCAGTGATCTTAACCACTGAGCCATCTCTCCAGGATGAAAAGATGACTTCATGTGTTAAAAGACAGGCTCAGCAAATGGAACAGAACAGAAGAGAACCCAAGCAGAGTAAGTGTTGAATTATAATCCAAAAGCCAGCAAGACCGAAGAGCAGCTGAAGAAGTTAACACAAGCTTTTGAAGGTCAAGCCAAGGAGCTTGGACTTGATTCTGAGGAGTCTTAGGGGATCACAGGAGTGGCAGAGGGCACCCTGTAAACTTAATCCTCACTTTAAGTGTTAAGAACTTTGCCAGCCCTGGTGGCACACACCTTGATCAGAGTAGTTGGGATGCAGAGGCAGGCAGATCTCTGAGTTTGAGGCCAGCCTGGTCTCCAGAGTTCTAAAACAGCCAGGGCAACCTACCTAATAGTATGGGGGGCGGGCACTTAAACCAGATGTGGTAGAATACACCTGCAATTCAATTCCAGCAGTCAGGAGACTGAGTAAGGGGACCAGAAGTTCAAGACTGGCCTGGGTTACATGGCAAGACCTTATGTAAAATGGACAAATCATTAATTGTGATTAGGCAGTGCCCTTGGTACAATCCCCAGCACTAAACAACTCCCTGCCGCCCCCTCCCCCGAAAAAAATCACAAGAGCTACAAATAAGTAGCTCTGCTAACTAGCAGTAATTAGTAGTATGGTCTACATTGGTAAATGGGGAAGGACTCTTAAACATGGTCTCAAAGATTTCAAGTCTTAGAGAAGAGTATTTGCAAAGACTTGAAAAGGCAACTGAGAGAAACTGTGAGGCCAGTGTGGCTGGAGCTTGAAGAAAAGGGTAAGCAGGTATCGTGGTATAAAACAAGACTGGACAGATACAAGATGGACCAGTAGAACCTCCCAGGCATGTTGAAAGCAGATCAGGAATTTGAGTATGGAGCAGGCTCCAATGTCATCCCAATAAGAGCCAGGAGTATGAGGTGATTAGCTGTCCACTCAAGTCTCCCTACAGTTTAGTTTCCTCCCCTAACAGCTGCTGTCATCACACCACAAGATATTTAACTCCTGGGCTTTTGGTAAGGTTTCAAGAGGCCCTAGCCCTTCCAGCCCAACCTATCATACCCCAGGTCCCCCAGATGTAAGGTTGAGAAATAATGAAGGAAATATTTAATAAATGGGCCTGAAACTAAGGCCAAGACAGTCTCTTTTACATCTCGTTTCTTCTATGAAATTTAGGGGGCTTAGTGTTCTAGCTGTTACAATTCTAATATTCTGTGGCATGTGAGAGGGTCTTAAGATCGGAAAAAATGAGATCTTGGGTTTCTAGATTTCCAAGATTCTAAGCCTCTATACTTCAGTAAACTCAGAATAAACAAAAACAGGCTGCTGTTCAGCACCTGCTGGTTTATACAAGCGATAACTCCTGGGCCTCTCAACATCTCCCAAACAGCTAGAGAATAGCAATTTAGCTCCACCCTCCATCCCCCTACCCCCTATCCATCTCCACCAATCTCGGCCCGCTGCCTTGCCAAAAGCCAAGACTGAAAGTCTTTGGGGCGGGAACCAAAACTTGCAAGCTGGGGAAAGAGCAGAGCTGTAACTGAAAGAGGGTGGGGTGTCTCGGCCCGCCCATCCGCCTAAACTGCTGACTTCCTGGTCTCAGCGGGCCTCCGCTAGGGTAGCAGGCCTCCGAGGCTGCGAACCCCAGAACCATGGGGCGGGATGCCATCCTGGACGCTCTTGAAAACTTGACAGCAGACGAACTCAAAAAGTTCAAGATGAAGCTGCTGTCAGTGCCACTGCGCGAGGGCTATGGACGCATCCCACGGGGGACCCTGTTGCCGATGGACGCCATGGACCTCACTGACAAGCTTGTCAGCTTCTACCTGGAGGCTTATGGCATGGAGCTCACAATGACGGTCCTTAGAGAGATGGGCATGCAGGAGCTGGCTGAGCAGCTGCAAATGGTCATTCAGAAAGGTGAGTGTGGCTACACCCTGTTTGTCTACCCTCAACTTCCTGCACCCCACCAGAGGCCTGTGTCTTTGGCTCTTAATTTTCTGTTCCTACCTTACAAAAAAAAAGGAAAGAAAGAAAGGAAAGAAAGGGAAGGAAGGAGAGAGAGAGAGAGAGAGAGAGAGAGAGAGAGAGAGAGAGAGAGAGAGAGAGAGAGAGAGAGAGAGAGAGAAAGAAAGAAAGAAAGAAAGAAAGGAAAGAAAGAAAGGAAAGAAAGAAAAGAAAGGAAAGAAAGGGAAGGAAGGAGAGAGAGAGAAAGAAAGAAAGAAAGAAAGAAAGAAAGAAAGAAAGAAAGAAAGAAAGAAGAAAAGAAACCCTCCCTTTGTAACCTTGAACTTAGCACCCTGGGTGGAGGGGGAGTCAGCTCCAGACAAACTGTTGATAATGGAAAAGAACCACCTGACATTTCTTCACAGAGTCAAAAGCTGTGGCAACTGCAACCAGTGTCCCTTCTCAAAGGGCAGCAGAAACAGGTGAGGCCTCCCCACCCCACCACACCCTTGCACAGCCTTCCTATTGTCCCACGGCCAGAGCCAAGACTAACCCTACTACCTACTACCCACACATTTTGGGGAGGGAGTGTAGCTCACGTGTGTAGTCATGGTGGGTGGCCTTCTTTGATTCCCCACATCCCTAAAACTATATTTAATAACATTTGAATCCACGCTCAGCATTGTTCTCACTTCTGCCCTCAGCACATTTCATTGACCGGCATCGGCAAGCACTCATTGCCAGGGTCACAGACATCGAAGGCCTGCTGGATGCCCTGTATGGCTGTGTGCTGACTGATGACCAGTACCAGGCAGTTCGAGCAGAGACCACCAATCCAAACAAGATGAGGAAGCTCTTCGGCTTCTCTCCAGCTTGGGACCTGACCTGCAAGGACTTGTTCCTCAAGGCCCTGAAGGAAAAGCTGCCCTACTTGGTGGCTGACCTGGAGCGGAGCTAAGGTATTTTCTCCAGCCACAACCCCTACCCATCTAGCTCCTAACTTTGTATACACAATTTAAAAAAAAAAAAAAAGTTTGTACTTTGTTTTCTCTACTCCCTTGGATGTTTGTGCCTAGCTAAGCTACATTTCTAAAAGCCAAATGGGCTAAGGGAAGATCACCCGTACCTACCATGCACAAACCCCTGGACTCAATCTCCAACACCAAAACTCCACAAAGTTCTGATTTCACTGTTCTAGTGTGTAAGACTTATCAGATGATTCCTGGCTCCCCATTTGGGGGCTTTTTCTGTATTATCCCAAGGGACTACTCAGGAGAACACACTAAACAAATCTATCCAGATCAAGTTAAAACGGGAATGTGTGGGGATATGTACAATGGGGCTTAGAATCTGGAGGGGCAGCTCTGCCAGAGACATCTAAAAACAAACCAGCCCATATAAGATTCTCTATGTGCTCTACCTTTTCCATAATTATACTATTTTCACAGGAGAGGCAGAGGTACCAGCAGGTTACCAAGGAGGCCCAGAATGTCAACCACCTACCAACTTTACTCTACCAGACTTAGTCTAAACTCTTAGCTGCAACAGGCCTCTAATTGGTCCTCCCTGCTTCTAGTCTACCTCCAAAGGCCTGAGTAACCAAAAAAAAAAAAGTCATAGGAACAGACAGATGATCTTATCATGCCTGAACTTGCAGCCAAGACCCTGTCTTCACACTTTTGCACACATGCCCCATAGCCACTATTTCTCACACCAGACACTACGTGCACACTTGGTGTACAGCTCAGGAAACCCTTGAAACCTACCTGTCCCAGCCTGCTCAAAGGATCACCTGCTAGCTCAGAAAACACTTCCCAGTGTCTCTGTGGCAAAGCAAGTCATCGCCACGGTGTTTTTTCACAAATGACCCTAATAGACTGGCCTGTCATTAAAAGACAAACTTTTTTTCCAATCCCTGTTTTTTTGTTTTTTAATTTTCAGTTAAACTTGCTAGGCATGGTGGCACATGCCTTTGATCCCAGCACTACCCAAGCCAGCCTGGTCTACAATGTTCCAGGCCAGCCAGGGATACAGGGATATTAAGAGCCTGACTGGGAAAATAAAACCCCACAGGAGACCAGGCGTTGGTTGCATATGCCTTTAATCCCAGCACTCCAGAGACAGAGGCAGGCGAATCTCTGTGAGTTCAAGGCCAGCCTGGGCTACAACAGTTAGTTCAAGGGACAAACTCCAAAGCCACAGAGAAACCCTGTCTCGAAAAAAAATAAAAGAAAAAAGAAACTCCAAAAGAATCTAATGGTTTCCATCAGAAAGGACGATAAACAACACTTTTATAAAGAGTAGCTACAGAGCTGGGGATGGAACTCTACTGTGGAAGACTTACCTACCATGCCTGAACTCTAGGTTTGTCTCGTCTCCCCCCAAGCCCCAGTAATGGGAACACCTGTTAATCCCAGCGCTGTGGAAACAGAGACATGAGATTACGAGATGGGAGGCAGCGATGGCATGGCCCGGAAGCTCACAGACCAGCTAGCTAGTATGCAGCACGGCAGCAGAAACGGAGACTCCCAACCTCAGCAAGGCAAAAACTGAGAACCAATTCCCAAGTTTGTCCTCAGATCCGTGTTCACATACACATTTTTTTTTCCAATTTCTTTAAAAAGAATAAGCTCTTGGGGCTGGAGAGATGTCTCAGCAGTCAGTAGTGACTGTTCTTCAGAAGACCAAGGTTCAATTTAGGCTGAGTCTGTTAAGGCCTGTTCCAGGGAATTTGATGCCCTCTTCTGGCCTTGGTAGGTACTGCATGCACATGGTACACAGACATACAGTAGGTACAAAGCATCCATAATAATAATGAAAAAACCGGGCGGTGGTGGCACATGCCTTTAATCCCAGTACTCGGGAGGCAGAGGCAGG